TCGTGTTACCACCCCTATCAGAAAAAGTAGCCACATACATTCGGCGTACTGACCAATCCTCATTATTGCTCAAGTCCTAGGCGGTAATGTTTCGTCATTCTAGTGCGTAACGTTGAACGAGTAGTAGACATTTTGAAATACGTGGAATTGTAATTTGCGGGGTTAAGAACGTGAAGAATTGGTGAGAAATACGCCATTGTGTGCTTGACTGAAAGACAGCGAAAACTTAAGAGAATATGGAAAACACCGCGTTTCGGAACTGTATTGCGAGGCGGAAGAAATAGCTGATGATTGTGAAATTAAAATTTGCATACTGAAACTGCACGGAGAACTTTAACTTCATCAGAGTACTCGTGAAACGAGTGCAGCGAGCGACGCCGGAAATATTTAAAACGCCTTTAACTAATCATAACCTGCAAGGACTAGATGGACACAAGCGTTCAACGTATTTTTTTGGCAGGCAAGAAGAAAGAGGCGTGTGCACGAGCTCTCTTCCCGAGGAAAGCGGTCAGGAGATTGAAGGTGGTCTGGATTTGGTGGACGCGGCGATTGGAGAGGAGCCTAGCACGTTCTACGAAGGCAGCGCGACCAGAAGGGACAGTGTAACCCTTGCGCTGAACGAGGGGTTTTACGAGGCCAAGCAGCGGGCGACGACGGCGTACAGCGAAGGCCAAGGTGCGCGGAGTCACAGATGAAATGTAAGCGAATTCGGAGCATATTGTGAGGTGGCAGGCCGGCGACCGCTAATATCTTGAGTTTGAGAAGCGGTCGAACATGTGGTAACTGAGTAAATGTGTGATGTCGAAATTAGATTGGAAGTTAATAGGGCTTCATTCAGAAATTGAAATACGACTGAAACAACATTAACAGCGATCAAATAGACGCTATGAGAACTTTGTATCTGCACATTTGTACAAGAAAATTATTAAAATTCATTTTTTTCTTTTGCTGAAATGATTATTCATTTGGGTGTTGTTAATTTACGTAATTGAACGTGCCATACTTAATTTTTATGTAAAGTGAATGAGCACAATACTGGCACTTGAGTGATTGGTAATTTCATTTGAGGATCAAAGCAAAGTAAATGCACATTGCAATAACGTCTTGATCGTGCACGGTACTAGAATACTGAAGTATTTAATTCATTTGAAAGATTAGTTGATTTTGCGAGGAAACTGAGTGATTGCAAGAACATGCAAACTGAAAGCGAAGGGTCAGAGCGTTGAGGTGTTGTTCGTGAAGCGTACGCGCGTACAATCAAATGTTTATTTCGTTGTGTTATGTATTCAGAGTTAGTTTTAAAATATATATGAGCAAATGTTTCGTTGATTTACGTGTTCTTGAATTTTTCCTTTCTCACACACGGAAGATCTTACCTCCCTGAGATTAATGCCAAGCTCATATTGAGAATTTGTCGACGACTCCCTATTAGGTGTCTGCTACTTGCATAAGACGAAGCTGACGTAAGAATATTACATATATATATATATATATATATATATATATATATATATATATATATATATATATATATATATATATGTATAAATATATATGTGTGTGTTGTGACGATCGGCAATGTCCACCAAACGTCCCAGCAGCACACGCAACTATTACATCGCGAGAATGCAGAGTTCACAGTACGCATGCCGCAGTGGTCTCTGGAAGCGCAATCTTGTATCAGCTAACCACAACATCTCGACTAGCTTTCGGGGAGAAGGTACGCTTGTCGAGTCAGTCCTGGGAGCATGACGGGAAGATTCACCTAACTTGACAAGGCCGCCACATAAATACTGTGGGGAATAGAGAAAAAAACCCTTCTTGGACGAGCTGCCGAATGATTAGTTTGCTGGAAAGTGACGCCGTATAGTTAGTACGAAACGTAATTTACGGTAAAATTTGCTGTTTGCGAAGTAATTGTGAATAAAAGCAGCTATTTTTTTAAAAGAACTGTGATCGTGTAGAAACTCTTAGCAGAGCGGAGTAAACATTGTGGATTGGTACTGTGTTTCGAGCATTTTCAGTTGCCTGCATATTAAATGAAATAGTTTGTATGAATGAAACTACCGCAAGGACGAACAGAGGATCAGCTGTGAAGCGAACGAGTCATTGTGGGCAGACGCCAGAGCTGTAACTGACAAATATAGTTGAATGTACAGACATTGTAACATTAACGTTAAGCAAATAAACGTTCCTTTTCTCATCCCTCTCCCATCCACGTCGCCGTCCTACAATGAAATTCTCGGAATAACGTCTCAAACTGCCAAAGCCCCGGGATTTTATGGCAACGCTGCATGAAAGATTACATTAAGTAATTCCTCGTAAATAACCTACTCTATCATTAATTAAGTAAATAACGATAATAAAATTACAGTATTTTTTTCAATTTCTATAATTACTTTTATTTAACCATTTATTTTTAAATTATTCGTTCATATTACATTTAAATCGTATTTTTAAAAGATAAAACGTAATTCCAATTAAGGAGTGCTAATTGAAAGAAAGTACGAGTACATTAAAACATTGAGAATACAAATTGTAGAATAGAGAAAAATAGAATTAATATCGGAATTTCCTATTGTAAATTCTAATTAGAAACATTAGTTATTTTTCATATCTTTTTGATCCATTTTTGTTTTCCGATGTTTTCCATTTTTGTATTTTTCTCGTGGCACATAGTTGGAGGTACATCTGTATACATTACATTAATTTCAAACAGAAATTACGAGAAACTACTAGTTTGACGAGCGGCGATGACTTTTTTAACGAGCTAATTTTGTTTAGAACAGAACAGATGCCATCAAGAAATTTGGCGCCGGATATCACATTCTATCAGGAGAACATCGTCACCTCCTGGCTATAGCATGCTCTACACTTAGGGGATGAATAACCAATGTAGTTGTCGCGCCCGGAAACATTACATATTCACTCACTCGGCAAACTCCATCAGCCGTTATTTCAACTTGCCCACGTGAACGATACTGTGCACGTGCTTCATTGTAACAAGTCTACAAAAAATAATATTTTTCCTCACCTGTAATATATGAAGCCACCTAACGATTTCAGCTTGGGTATCAGTAATAAAAGTAGTGCAACTCCTATTTCAGACGTATTTGTGTCTTGGATTCGCACTTCTTGAAGAGTGTGGCAACAATTATTTAGCGCAGACATATCAATACTTCCATCTGAATACACATCAAAATATTCAGCCCAAATAGAATCCTGAATAACATAAAATATAATTATTTATTACATTATGTTTACAAATTTAATATAGTATTAACGTTATTAATAAACGATAATTAATACCGTTAAGAGACCATCGAATCATATAATGTTACCATCTATTACGTATTTGCATCTATTACTTATTTTATTTTCAAGAAATGTAAAGTTAAAAGTGAAGGATTTTATGATATTCAGAACCTACGCTAATTAAGCTCTAAAAAGAACAAAGGCAAGACAAAAATCAGAAGCGGTCAGTGCAACTTATCTACTTCCCGTAAATGCTTTGCGCTGCACATAGATAGGACGAGAAAATCAACAACTCTTGTCAAATGGATGACTACTTTAGACCTTTGATACCCCAAATTATCCTATTGACAGAAAAAGTCATGAAAAGCTTCAGTCCAGATCATTAACATAAACTCTTGCAATGCTAAAAACCAGACCACTAGCTACCTGGTGACCGTGTACTGATTTCGAATCAACTGCAAAAATACTTTACAGTTCAGACCCCCTAAAAATTACACTATATTTTATTCATAACATAAAATCTATAAAATAATCTCAAATTATCAAATAAAATTGATTTTAAATATCATAATAATTATTTAAATATTAAATAATATTATTATTTAATAATAAAAATATAAAACTTTTAATTAGTGTTAATAAGAGAAAAGATACCTCTTCTCTATAGAGTACTAACATTTTTTAGCAATACAATACATAAGTAAAGTTTTTCTCACATTATTATCATATCATATTATTAAATGAAAAGAACAGATTAAGTTGAATAGTTGAGATGGTTATTACTCTGTAAAAGTCGGATACCGGAAACGAGAAATACGTATTTTGAACAACCTAATTTCTTGCTGGTCATTTTATTCCTATTGCAGGTTGTCGCGGCATACATCCTCTAGATAACCCCTACTCTTTCAAGGGCAAACGTTGAAAGCAATTATAAAAGTCTGTCCTGCTAGTAATATTTATATTGTCTATGGGGTAAAAAGATTTGCCAACTGTACCTTAAAACAAAGTTGTTTGAGACCTCCATCGTCAACCAACCACGATGACCTCACATCCAAATACTTAAGATGGTTGCTATGCTGACCAAGCAATCGCAATATTTCGTTGTCACACACTGAGCGGAGAACCAATTTCTGCAAGGAAGAGGCAAGTCCATTTAGGAGCACCCTATGGAACGTGACGTTGGCAGCAGACACCGCCTCTAAATGGTTCACCTTCCTCGGGTCCAGCGCCACCTGCAACAAGATATCACATTTACTTCTCCGTTCCCCGCGAGTCGAAATGGCGCATCCATTGGAGTTTTAGATCAAATATAAATCAGCCCTGAACCTAATTCTATTAATAACAACAAAGCGTAAATAACGCTTAAAAAATGAAATAAATTCAAAAATTACAAAAACTAGTGAAACACGTTCTTGCTAATTTTTTTTTTCTCAACTGGACATCCAAATTGACTTTCGACGTTCTTTCACGTCGGCGATTAAAATTTGCAGAAGTATTGGAGCGGCGGTTTGAATGGACGTCACGAAGTGCAGGAATTAAAGTGCCGTAGTACCTTCGTTATTGACGTCTTACTACGGACACCATGTGATTCACGGGGATTCCAATTCGTGGAAGAGGATTCAATAATGTCGCGTGACACAATCACAAGGTTACAAGCCTAGGCCATTGAGACCCTGGTCAATGTGCATTCAGTTTCTTAAGCAGGTAAGACCTGGTCGAAACAGTAAAAACTACAGAAGGAACTGGTAGCGGCCAAGTCCATGGGCAAATCCGCAAGCAGTTAGGAAAAAGAGTAAAACGTGGTTGCAGTGATTGAGGTACATCTAGACAGATAGTTGAACAATAGAGTGGGCAAAAGAACGAATTTCTTTGAACAGCCTAAACTATGCGTAGGATCTTTTTTTCAAATTGAAGAGCTCGAGTCGAATCTTTGTGATTTTGAAAATAAATAAATTTGGGGTTTCTCTACATGAAGTCCCCCGGACAGTTTCAACATTTTCTCAAAAATGGCTCCATTTTTTAAAAATTTCTTGTAAGAATAGAGTAGCATTAGTGGCATATGCCAGATTTTCACGGTTAACTCTGGATTTCCGAAAATTTTAAAAGTAAAAAGTTATTTCACTGTCTTCCTACAACTACAAAATTAAAAACCGAGATTTTTCTTTTAAATACAACTTGTTCTCCATAGTGAGTTCTTTCATTAAGGTCATGTTCATTTTTTAAAAATTTTAGCAGCTTACGCGCGATATGTGCAATTTTAAAAATTTATAAAAAGATTTTCTCAAAAGCGGTTCCAAATATTTTCTTCGGACATTTCGAACGGATAGTGCTAATTACACTCATTAACATGACGTAAAGTTCATTTCAGAGTTTTTTTTTTTTCAAAAATTACACAAATGCAAATTTTTGAAAGATCTCTCAACGCCGTTGATGTGTACATTTTCAGCAATTTGTAAACACTATTGTATTTGTGAATTATAGGACTTAAATTGATAAAGATTTCCGAAAACTCAAAAATGATCTGTGGAAAAGAAGTTGAAATTTCAAATTTACAGTAGCGTTTAAACGCCATTTTTTTGAAAACGGCTTCAAATGTTTAAATGAAAGCTTTTTGTTTTTTTTAAAAATATTTATAAAATAATATTTCCGTTCTACTATTAGGAAACCAAAAAATTGAGATTTTTTTTTAAAAAAAAGTACTTTGGGCGGCGATAGATGGCAGCTGGCAAGAGTATGTCCGAGTAGCTAGCTGAGACCAAAGAAAATAGAAAACTAATACAGGAAAGTCTGTGCCATTCTGTAGCACCACTAGTTGCTTTTTGTTGTAATTAACTAACATATTATTGTATAGTATGGGGGTTAAAGCGTATTCTTTTTTAAATATCAAAATTCTTCAATGCCAAACAAAAATATATCGTTGAGTATTTCGATGAAATATGCTCCACGTTACATAAGTAATACTCACCACTCATGAGAGTTAAAGTACTGGACAATGTAAAATGTAATTATAATACTATTTTAAAACTTCCAAACCTGAAAATCTCTGGTCGGTTCGCGACTGTCTCTCATTGATGTCTCTCAAAAGATGAAAGCTATTGTCACGTACGAGTCCTTCGACACCCTCGCCACGACCCTTCTCAAGGCGACAGCTGCAGTTGTATTGCAGGTCATCCGCGCTGTGCTGTTACAATACTGATATAATACACCGTTTTACGAAATTTCAATCTTTATATCTATGAAGAATATTCAACTGGGTAACATAACCTCAAATAGTTGCGGTTTCAGATACTGTAGAGGATCTCGCAAATGTTAGTCAATTTGTGACTAAATATACAAATTTTACTTTCTCTAGTAAAATTTTACTAGAGACAAAAATACGTAATGTTGCGCGAAAAAACGGCGAATTTCCGGCAGAAAACTCTCATTACAGAGCCCTGGGAACGAAAAAGTGGATAAATCCAATGATAAATTTAGGCGGAAAACCCACAAACACGCTGTGTAGACCAGAGAGTATTATGGTGTAGCCAGAATCCATGTTTCGTATCTTAAATTTTTCGAAAATTCAAAAATTTTCCCCGTCTTCCTACAACTACAATTATGAAGATAAACATTTTTTCTTAATCAAATATCTTCATTGTAAGAATAGTGTGAAGTACACTTACGAAGATGACATAGGTCCGATTTTCATTGCTAACTCTGAATTTTCGAAACTTGCAAAAGTTAGAAATTATTTCGGCGTCTTTCTGTACCTACAAAATTGAAGGTTTTCCCTTTAAATAAAATTTGTTTCTCATAATTAGTTCTTTCAGGCCATGTACATTTTTTTTGATAATTGCAGTAGTTTTCAAGCATTTTTGTACGTAATATGAGCTACTTTAAATAAAAAAATATACTTAAAAAGTCTCCAAAACTTCTCCGAAATTTTTCTTTCTATTTTGGTAAGAATAGTGCAAAAAGTACTGTAAAAGGTGATATAAACGCCATTTGCTCTTTATTTATTTTTCGAAAATTACAAAAAATGTATTTTTTTAATCATTTACGTATTTAATATTTACATATGCTCCATTTGTATACAGTATTTAATTTGTTAAAACAAGTGATTCAAATGATGTCTAGATGATCATCAAATGATATAAAGTTTCTAGAAACTGAAAAGTTTTCTGTGAAAATGAGCTCACAATTTCCCATTTTCAGAAATGCTCAAACGCCATTTTCTCAACATCTCCAAATGTTTTCTTCAAACCTTCTGTACAGACAAACCAAATGCACTGTTTAAAATGACATAAAGACACTTTGATATCTTATTTTCTCTCTTAAAAATTACAAAAATTGTAATTTGTTTGAAATATCTTTCACGCCGTTAATTAGTGCATTCCCAGCGATACGTACACATTATTGCATTTCTGAATGGATGTGATTCAAATGACTTTCAATGAAGTTTTTCGAAAACTCAAAAAGTTTTCTATGAAAAAGATCTTAAAATTTCGCATCTGAACCAACGCTTAAACTTGTTCTCTAAACCGCTTCAAATTCTAGGCAGTATGAAACAAAAGTATTGAACCAGAGAATCAAATTGCATAAGTGTATTTGTATTTTTTTTTTAACTTTCTTGTATACCTACGTAAATACGGATTAATATACACATAGCTCGACCACTTAGAAAAAACCATCATGGCGTCGCTTACCTCGGGAGGCGTGGCTAAGCCATCCTCCTTTACTCCCGAACTATCAGTTGAACTCAAGGACCGCCTGCAACAACTGATTCGTAAAGAGAAAGTTATGTAATGCTGCGAAAAATCGATTTCGCAATTTCAACGGAAACACATGTTTTGTGATCCCCTGATACAACTTTTTTTTTCTTTTCAAACCGCCCGTCTATGAACACCACTAGCGTCTAAATCATAAGTAGGTTTTTTTTCCAAAATGGATGTTTCCTGGTCGATCTGGTCCAACCCGATGCGCTGTGATTTTGAAAACCATTCTTGAAACGTGTATCAAGTGAAATCTTGCAGCACATGTAATTTCCAAAATGTCTGGAATACGTTCCTATTTAAAAGGTTACATCCGTTTACATGTGTGTAGAAACAAAACTACCGCGCCTCAAGCGACAATGAAATCGAAATGAAAGACACTCGCCTCTGAGGCAACAATCGTATGGAATTGAAATGAAATGTGGCATTGAACTCTCACGTATAAAAAGCAAAGGTATTTCTTATTCATTTTATTTTTCTCATGAGAAAATTGAGGTTTACAAAACTTACTGAGAGACACGACCTAAAACACAAATAACATACTTGGTTGTTTGGTGTTTATCGACCTAAACACGTTAATAATTATAACAATGTCAATAATTAGTTTACACTAGTTGTTTTCAAGTACTGATTTGATTTAGTATTAAAAAAAACATGTGAAAACTGTACGTGACGTAAGGGGGAGAAAATGAACTGCGCACGTTTTCTTGAGGTCCAGAATCCCTTCCCAACATATTTGAACTATAAATTGTTGAAAGATGGATAAAAGTTTAAAAAATAATTAAAAAACTATAATATTTTTTTTTAACTTGTAGAAATTAGACATTTTCGTTCCCGAGTTACAGAAAACTTATTTACATCGGCAAATTAACTCATTTCATTCCTGTGTATTGACAACAAAATAGCAACTCACCCTCAGCTCTACCACTACCACCACTACAAGAAGAAGGAGAGTTCAACAAAACGTGGGCATAGTGAAGCTACATTTATGACCAGAAGCATACAATTTGCTCAATGGATTAGGGAATCTGGACAAAAACATGATCGAGATGGGGGCATTGACCAGGAAACTGAAGTTCATTACTTATTGCAGGCACATTAAGCATTTTTTTTAAAATTATACAATACAAATTTTAATTAGTGCATTATATATCATTGTTTTGTTGTAATATTTTTCTTGTTGATGTTCAGTATAGTCTCTAATTATATAAAAAGTTATGCAGCAGAAAATATTTTACTTTTAACTTAAACTTGTGTGCCGACTTTCATTGTTTAATGTCATCTTGGAATGCGTTGTAAAGTAACGTACATGTAATGAATGTGATTTCTTTGTTTAGACGTCTTGGATTCTATCGGACTAATACTGCATGTGAATTCAACAGGCGGAATTCAGAGTTCCGCGTGAAGAGGATTCAATAATGTCGCGTGACAACAATCACCAAGGTTCCAAGCTAGGGCCATTGAGACCCTGGTCAATGTGC